CCGCCGCGCCGCCCGCTGCCCCCCGGGCGCCCGCCGCGAGCGCCGCCGGCGTGGACCGCAGGGCGGCGCCGGCGGCGCCGCAGAGCACGTGCGTCAGCAGCACGGCGCGCGCCGCGGCGCCCCACTCTGCCCGGTCTGCTGCCAGCTGCATCTGCCCGGGGCTGTGCGGCAGGCTCTCGTCCTGGCGCCTCTTGGCGGCCGCCGCCTGCGGACAGCGCACGGCCACCACCATATGCCCCAGTGGGTGGGCCGAATACATGAGCGGCAGCGAGAGCAGGCGCAAGTCCTTTGATGCATGCAGCGCGCCCCGCGCACGCTGCGGCGCAAGAATGGCGCCTCAAAAGGCAGGCAGAACAGAATCCGTCAGCAGGCCCGATCACAGGAATGACGCGCGTGCTCCCAACACACACCCCCAAACCAAAATCGACCCGCCTCATAGAAGAGAAGAAGCCCCAGGCTCAGTCTGCTTGCCTAGGACCCGGCCGAGGTTAGATCAGCACCAGATCACCAAAGCATCCAGATCACGCACCTGCAGCACTAGTACGAGGATCGGCGCCACGACGACCCCGATGTACTGGTCCACGCTGAGGAACGTCCTCGCGCTGACTAGGACGTACAGGAAGAAGCTGTGGTGAAACTTCTCGATGAGCACGCTGCAGCTTCTCACTGAGAGCTCAAGGGCCTCCGCCAGCTGCGGCCGCGCGGCCGCGGACGGCAGCGGCGGCGCGGCGGCGGCGGCGGCGGCGGCGGCGCCGGAGGATCCGCCGAGGCGCAGCAGCCGGAGGGTGGCTGCGTCCGCGCTCGCCGTCTTGAAGGGCGCGTGCGCGCCGAGCGGCAGGCCCCGCGCCTGGCGCCACGCGAACGCGGCGACCGCGGCCGCGCGCTGCAGGTGACCCAGCGCGGCCGCGCCGGCGGCGGGGCCTGCGGCGCGCGCGGCAGCGGCCGCTAGGGCGCGCAGCGGGGCTGGGGGTGGGGCGGGGGGCTCGTCGACGTGCGCCGCCCTGACGTATGCGCTGGCATAGTACTTGAGCAGCCAGTACATGTCGAGTTTTGGCAGCTGCCCATCATATCCGGGCAGCGGAAACTCGATCGCGTCAAGATCACCGACGGCTGCCTCAAGCACGATCGCCTGCTGCATCACGCCCGCGCGGCCGAAGGGGGCCGCGCCGGGCGCGGCGGCGCCCGGGGCCGGTGGCGGCAGCGAGCGGACGTTGCTTGGTCCGGGCTGCGGGGTTGAGGAAGGGCACGGAGGGTGGTGCGGGTGCGGCGAGGACGGAGCAGGCGTGCTTGGGAGGCGCGGCAGTGGCGGCAGCAGGGGGCGCCCTCTAGAGGACCGCCGCTCTCAAGACTGCACTTGCCCGTGCCTTCGCCATGCTACCAAGTCGTATCCCATGAGCCTGGACGGCTCCAGGAGCGGGCGACCGCGGGGTCTGAAAGCAATCCTAATCCTAATCCTAATCCTCATCCTTAGCCTTCGCGGCGACCCCAGAGCTTCCACGCCTGGGCCCCAGCCCGTCCGGCCCTGCACCAAGGCAACTTGCGCGTCTCCTGCACTCCCCCAAATCCCCCAAGGAAACCGCCCTCTGACGCGCCTTCCCTTGCCTACCCCCACCCACACCCTATCCCCACCGTCTGCTGGTATTCCGCCACCCAGGCCGCCACCCCCTCCACCAGGCCGCAGCTTGCGTCAGAGATGACCCAGATCACATCCTTCGCCAGCCAGGGGGCGCCGCGCAGGTGCAGCAGCAGCGCGTGCACCGTCGACACGGCCAGGGCGGCGCCCGCGGCGGTCTGGTTGAAATCTGGGGATGAGTGTGAGCGTGTGCGTGTGCGTGTGTGATAAGAGGTGTGTGGGGTGAGTGTGTGCGTTTGCGCGCGCGGGTGCCAGTGACATGGATGGAGGAGGGGATAGGGGGAGGAGCGGAGGGTGAACCTCCTGTCCCCACAATGGAACCTGCGGCCAACCAACCAGCCCGGCCCCAGTGAGCATTGACAGCCACATGTGCTGGTCCACCTCTTCCCTCTGCTGCCCCGCCATGGGCCATCCGGACGCCAGCCGCGCCGCCACCACCGCCGGTCCCGCACGCGGCGCCCCGTGCGCCGCCCCGCCGGACGCTCCTCACCCGCCGCAAACGGCTGCAGCGTCACCGGCGTCACCAGCACTATCGACTCCTTGCCGTCGCCGCGCGGCGACCGCAGCACGGCATGCAGATTGCTGCACAGCAGCTCCCCACCGCCGCCGCCGCCGCCGCCAGACCTGCCGCCAAATCCAGGGGGCCGTACCGCGAAGGGCTGCTCGTAAACTTCGAGGCCGGCGCGGTCGAGGGCGCGCCGCAGCTTGTCGCGGAACGCGGGGGTGCGGAATGCGGACGCGAGCGCGTCCGACAGCTTTGCTGCCGCGGAGAAGGCGTCAGGGGACTGTTGCCTGTTGAGGATTTGGTGGCGACAGGACCGGCATACCTGGGGCACTGGGCTTGGCCGGCGCTGATTGCCATGCGTCGTGGGAACAGCCGCGCAAGCCTGGCCCCGGCTGCCATGCAAAATGCGCGATACCACGCCCGGCGCCGCCCGACTTCAGTATTGTAACACCGCGGCATCGCGATCGAATGCACGCATGCAGATGGCGCGCACCCACCTGATGGTCGGGCGTGCCGAGCCCGCGAGCAGCGCGTTCTCATCAAAGCTGATGTTGCGCTCCAGCAGAGGCAGCGCACCAAACCCGACGACGCCGGCCGCTAGCAGCACGTACGAAAGCAGCGTTGCATGTCCCACGATTAGATCTAACAATTTCTCGATGGGCTTCTTTTTGCGCGTGGGTGGGTCCATTCGAAATGAATGGATCGCCCGAGATCGCGGGCCCCTGACTTGTCACAGCTGTGCGTCAGTGTATGCACAACATTGTCACAGATCTGTGATGTACATGCAAACTTGTGTGGCTGTGACCTGTGTCACCAAGTCACGCATGCCGCCTGCGTGCACGCATCCCAGGGGAAGCTGCGTGCTGCACGAACGTGCAGTGCTGATTCTGGTGCTCTGCTTCCAACATCGCACTACACGTGCGCTTCTATCACATGCAATAGGCTACGCCTTGTACGTGACGGATGTCGTCCTGCTGTGGTAACAGCATACGGGTGCGGTCAAACACATGCTGACCTGCCCCTGCGATGCTGCTGGCCTGCTCAACGGCTCAGTGTCACAAGCAAACCTGCTCGGATTTACACGGGCGGAGCTCGAGCTCCTCTCGAAGGCTGCCCAGCAATATCGCTCCTCATTATTGCGTGACCAAACAACAAAGCACAAAAAAACACCAAACCCAAAACCGGCCGCGGCGCACCGCGCGCCCGCGCTGGCGCGGGCCGCAGACGCCAGGGCGCTGGCGCGCCCCCGGCTCCGCGGGCCGACCGCCTTCCGCGCACGGCGCGCGGAGCCTTGGCCCCCCTCTTGCACGCAAGCAGTCTCACGGCACGCCACGACGACGTACACCCTGCTCAGTTGGCGGCGGGCCAGAGGCAGGTGGTGGGGATGCTGAGGCCCTGCACGTCCACCACCTTGGGGATGGCGCAGGTGCCGATGTTGGTCAACCAGTTGTCGCCGGCCGGGTCGCTGAGGTGGCCCGACAGGGACGCGAGCGGGCCCTTGCCGGTGGTCTGGGCCTGTTGATTTGGGAGGGGGGGGACGAGCGGTTCACTTTGATGGGGCGCGGCGCAGGCTGCGACGATGCTTGATACATGTGCGGCTTGATTGACGGATGCATGTTCCCAATGTGGGGGGCCTTCTCATGCCGCCAGTGCGGTGTGAAATCCATGCTCCTCAACCCTAAGCGCAAAAAAAGCATCTCGTCCTCACTGACGCATCCGCGCCCTCGCTTCGACTCTGGGAGCAATGCACCCTGTCGCGCCTGCTCTCACACTCAAGATGCTCTTACAAATCTCTCGTACCAAACCCGTGTCATCATGTGCTATTGCAGACTCCAAGTCACCAACCTTCCATACCACAGATGCTTCAGATCAACTCGCAAGCGCACGCGCGTGCCCGCGAACGCCTGCAAATTGCCAAATGCCTCGTACCCCTCAACCAACCACGCCACCCCCCACCCCCCACCCCCAATGCACTGACATACTCCCTCCTCCCCCCACCTGGAAGGCGAAGCCGATCCAGGCGATCATGGCCAGGCGGCCGTTCTTGATCTCCTTGGTCTGCAGCTCCTTGAGGTTGCCCTTGCTGAAGCCCAGGGGGTCGAAGATGCCGCCGGGGTAGCCGGGCTCCAGGTTGGGCACGCTGTTGCCCTTGAAGATCGGATCCTGGGGGTAAGGGGGGTAAACAAGGGGACGGTTGGGAGTGCTGCGTGAGCTGGTGGGCAGGCGGGTCCAGAGGAGGTGGCAGGGGCGGAGGTGTGCGCAATTAATGGAAGCAAGAGTGTCGATTCCGGGTGATGGTGGAGGGAGCCACGGCTGGGGAGAGGGGCGCATCCTGCGGAGCTGCTGCCGGCCCTGTACCAGCCCTGCGCCGCCGCTCCAAGGTCACGCCGACCCCGCGACGCGCCTGCCTGGCCGCCACCGAATCCGGCCCAGCAGCCAGACAGAACAATCCCCTTTGCAGCCTGCAAGCGGCGCCAGTGCGACCTGAAGCGGCTGCAGGCCGCGGTGGCCCAGGGCAGCTGTCCGGCGCGGCGGTCCAGGGGAATGAAGGGGGCTGCGGGCCACACCTGGTTGACGGAGCCGAACTTGCGGATGTCCTGCCACCTGCGGACCTCCACCCAGTGCATCAGCAGGAACTCGATCGCCAGCAGGCCGCCCAGGTTGACGTTGGTGAAGGGCGCCGGCAGGTTCTGCGGCAGCGCGGCCTCGGTGTACCAGTTCACGTTGGGGTTGAGGATCTCCTGGCCCAGCACGCCCGCGGCGCCCAGCATGGCCCAACGGGCGTGCACCAGCTCGGCCTGCCTGTGCCTGCGGGCGGGGCGACCAGGAGAGGTGCGCGGGGGGGGGGGATGCGGGCTGGGTCCTGGCGTGGTGCGTCGCTAGATCGCGTCATGTGGCGCTTCGCACCGCCGCATAGGATCCAGGAACGCAGCGATTGCGAGCTTGCGTCACTACTGCGTGCCACTGACTGCCATGCAGCCCTCGGCTCCGCAGGCAGCTAACGCCGGGCCAGGCAGCGGCTATTTTGCGGCCGCCGGCTGCCCCGCATCAGATATGCAGAGTTGGCGCACCAGGCGAGGGCCTTGGGGTCGGCGCCCAGGCCGGCGGGGTCGAAGCCTGCAGCGTGATGTGGAGCGAGCGGCGCAGCGGCGTTTCGCGCCGCCGTACTGCGACAGCCGTTCACGACAGACGGAACCGAGAATGTGCGTCGTGAAGATGCAGGCGAGTCGGTTCTAGGGCGCGGGTTCCATTTTCAGACTCCCGGTCTTCGTCCAGAACCCGGGTCGTCGGGACCCCGATCTACGGCAAACACGCACCCCTGTCGCCGGGAAGAGAGCCGTCCAGCCAAGAAGGAGGCGCAACACCGGGGGCCCACAGGGCACGCTCCGCGCGCACGACCACGCTGCGGGTCGTCCTGCTGGCGCGGCCGCTGTTCAGGCCCTTCGCCACATTGCCAGACTTGAGCATCATATTTTGTGTGATTTGTTGCGACGGATTTCAGACGTGTGTGATGGGATCACCGGATGTGATGCGCGGCCTGAAATCTGGCTCGCTGGGTGACTGTGGAAATGATAAAGTGAGTTGAGAAGTCAGTTTTGCTGCAATCCGGCTGCGGAGTCGATTTGACCCGCGGCACCGTGACCCGATCTGCCCGCCTGGCTGCCGCTTCGCCGCTTGCGCCCAGGGTGATTCTGGCAACTCGGCGCCAGCCATTGCTGGCATGGACCGCTCTTGCTTTGGGCTGGTTGCAATGGGCAGCAAATGGTTTCGCAAGGGACAGCAGGGGATGCAGACGCGTGGCGGTTGGCAACTAACTGCCTGCCAGGGCTATCTAGGTCTACAGCCTGCAGATGATTGCCCCCATAGCCCTGCTGTTTTTCATCCGACATCGTATGAACTATTATTTGATGCACAAGCTTTTGACTTATTACAGGATGAAGAGGTGTGGGTGGGTAATGCAGGTGCTGTTGTGCAGCAGCAAGAAACAGTATGCAGTGCCAAACCGCCGAGCATAAGGCCAAAAGTGTGATTGGCTGCACATCGCTGTGCCAGAGCCGCCTCTGCAGCTAACCGAGAACAGGCAGGCTGAAAGATCAACAGTTCAAAAGCCCCCTCGTGAAAGATAAAGATAGTATGCCTTTTGCAGCACATGAAGACTTGTGTGAGGGCAATGAACACGACGCTGTTGTAGCTACAACCAAAAACACGGCCGGGCCACACACCTGGAAATGCTGCATGTGTAACAAAAAGATCTCTCGCTGCACCCCTGCGCCTGTCTGGCAGGTGCTATGTTTTCATGCTCCAAGGGCTGCGCCGCCAACCGTGGCTCCGGCCGACAACGGGAAACCGCCAAGCGAGCGAACCAAGGCACCGCTGCATCGCAGCGTGCTGGAGCCGACAGCGCTGCGTGCGTCTGCATGCGGCGCGCCTCACAGCATGCGCATGTCTGGGTAGTCCCGCGTGAGCTCGTCGCGGCTGAAGTAGTCGCCCTCGGCCTGCGGCGTCCACAGCACCTCCACCCCCAGCACCTGGTCACACCTCAGCCCGCCCAGCGACCGCAGCGCCGCCTTGAGGGCGTCGCCGCTGCCAATCTTCTTGGGCAGCTTCACGTCACCCTGGGTCGCCACCAGCAGCGTCACCACGATGAGCTCGTCGGGGCGCGCGGAGGGGCCGGCGGGGGCGCTCCTGCGCGCGCGGCGCACGCCGCCGCCGCCGCGGACGTTGACAAGAGTCTCCTCTGTGAACTTGCTGCGCTCGGCCAGGGAGGCGCTGCGTGGTGGCGGCAGGGCAGGCAGGAGAGGTAGGGGGTATTGAGACGGGTGGGGGACGGTAAACGCGTGAGCGGCGGCGAGGAAGCATAAGGAGGCAGCGCGCCCATGCTGCAGCATCAGCAGCGGCCGCGTCAGCACGGCCCGCCTTGCCCGGGGAAACATGCAGGTGCTGGCCAAGATCACCCCTACAGGACACCAACGCCCCCCGGGCCCCCGCACACCTGTTGAACAGGCGCTCCAGCTCGGAGCTGTCCCCGACGGCCCTCTTGCCGCCTGAAACAAACTCGGCGTACTGCGGGTTGCGCAGCAGCGCGAGCGTCACCTCCTGCAGCAGCTCCTTGAGGCCGGCGTTGGACGACGTGTCGGCGTCCTCCGCGATCTGATCAAGATCGCGCTTCAGATCGCGCGCCACCGCCAGCAGGCCGACCTGGATCTTGGTCAGCTGCAGGCTGCCCGCGGCGCCCGCGTCGGGCCCGAGGAGGCCGCCGCTGCGGCCGGGCGCGAGGGCTGAGGAGGCCGCGGAGAAGGCGATGAAGGCCAGGGACATCAGCAGCAGCGCGTCCAGCACCGGGGACGCGGGCGACGCGACCACGGCGGCGCCGGTGGCGTAGGGGGCGACGACGACGGGCGGCGCGACGACGGGGGGGCCCATGAGGCCATACGATGAGTAGCCGCCGCGGTAGAACGATGGGGGGGACACGTAGCTGCCGCCATAGGAGGGGGCGTAGCTGCCGCCGCGGCTGTAGCCGCCGCCGCCGCCGGAGTAGCCGCCGCCGCCGCCGTAGCTGCGGCTGGGGGCGCTTGAGCCTGCAAAGCCGCCGACGCGGCCGGCGGAGCGCGCGGCCTCGGCTGGGCTGACGTGGCCAAACATCTGCGGGGTCGATGGGGATGAAGGAAAGCGTCAGACGGGTCAAGGCGCGTTTGCAGATGCTGCGAATGTGCGTGGCCCGCCCCGCGAGCATCCATGCGGGGGCAGCAGCGGAGCAGCATGCGTGTGGCTGGGGGATGGACTGCGCAGCGCAGGCGCCTGAAGGCCTCACCAGAGCAGCGGCGACGGCGGCGACGGCGGCCCCCTTGACAATTGTTGACAGAAACTCCCTCACAGGCCCCTTTTGCTGGTTCTCCGAGGGTTGGTCGTCAACCACGGGCACTGGGGCGGCCTTCAGAGCGGAAACGCGCGCCTCAAACCCTCGAGCGGCTGCAGCAGCAGGTGCGGCGGCGTGCCGCACGGCCGATGCGCGAGATGCACCACCGATTGCTCGGCTGGGGTGCGCGACGGCGACGCATCGCAGCGAGCGCGGCCGGTTGATCGTTGGGATATGGCCGGCAAAGGGAACGCGCCGCTGCGAGCGCGCCAGGTCGGCACTTGCGCTGGCCTTGTGTGTGAGCATGATGCGTGCGTTCAAAAACGATTTGTCTGCGTTGTAAAAACGTATGAGCTGTGGGTGTGATAACGGGTCGATAACTTATGAACCGGGTCGGGTTGTGCTTCTGTTCTCTTGTCCGGTTCCAGCTCAGCGTCTTCTGGAAGCAGATGCGCGCCCCCCGTTCATGCTCGATACGTAAGGGTTTGTCGCAAAAATTCCCGTTTATACCATGCATGCACACTGCAGCTAGCATCATTCTTTGGTGGCTGATCGCATGGACCCATGCACCAATGCGCGACTCCCCACAAGCGCTTGACCAGCAAGACGTCTGAGCAGCAGGTTACCGCTTTGCCAGTGTCCACAAAGCTGTGGCACGAGCCATTTTGCCCCAGGGCCTCAACTCGTGTCCGCAGTTCAGCTTTGGACCCACTGAACTGCACATGGCGTTCTCTATGTCGGTTCCTGTCACTGCTCACAGCGTGCTAGTGCAGGGGCGCATCATCAGCCAAAGTTCTTGTTTCAGAATAAGTGGTGATTGCCAGCGCACCCATCACACACAGCAGCAGGGTGACAGGGCACCCGGGGCGCGGCAGGCCACAAGAGCCAAGTGGTCAGCTGCCTCAGCCAGTCGAATGTGTGATGCGTGGCGTCCACACCACACACTTGCGGTTTGCACGCGCTTAGCCCAAGCAAGAGACTGGGACAGGGCAGCAGTAGCTTTGCCGCATCACTTGGCGCACATCATGCGCACAAACTCCTCGTAGTTGACCTGCGATGGAAAAAGGAGGAAGGGGGCTCAATCATCATGGTTTCGGCGAGGCGAACCAATGTGTGTGTGTGCGGGGGGGGGGGGTGCGGGGGCGGCGCGGCACAAGACGTGGGTGGTCCCAATGGAGGGGGGGAGCACGCCTGCCAGCCACAGCTATCGCCAAATCTCCTGCGAAATGAGCCCGCGCCCTTGCTGTAACATTGGGGACTGAGTGCTTGGCGCAGACCGGCGCCAAGCCGGTCTGCGCCAAGCACTCAGTCCCCGACTTTCCCACTCAACAGTTGTGATGCACCACGCTGCGCCGCACCTGGCCGTCGCCGTCGACGTCCGCCTCCCGGATCATCTCGTCGACCTCCTCGTCCGTCAGCTTCTCCCCCAGGTTAGTCATCACGTGCCGCAGCTGTTATTGCGTTTGTGTGTGTGTGTGTGTGTGTGTGTTTGTGTGTGTGTGTGTGTGTGTGTGTGTGTGTGTGTGTTTTAATGGGGGGAGGCGTGCACGCGCATGTGTGTACGCTTGCATGGGGACGTGCACGCATGTGGTAATCAGGACAGCAGCCAACAACAAAGGCAGCTGGGGAACGGGTGCGCTGGAGCCCCCAAGCCGCCTATCGTGCATGCCGCCAGAGACCGTACTGCCGTGTCAGTACATGGCCCAAGGCTGGTATAGTTGGCACCAACCTCAGCCGCAGAGATGAAACCATTGCCGTCCTTGTCGAACACCTTGAAGGCCTCGCGCAGCTCCTCTTCGTGGTCAGTGTCCTGCAGTAGTGTGTTGAGTCGCCGTGGAGCGGGCGGGCATGGCAGTGTTACGCGGCAAAGCAGCTGCGGTACGGCAAGACGCGCCAGCATGGCAGAGCGCCAATAATTTGAGCTGCTCTCTGTTGTCCGCAAGCACGCTGGCCGCCTCACTGATGTCCACGAGCGCGGCAGCGCGGTGCGCTGTCTCCCGCATGCACAGCGGTACGGCCGCGCAAGGGCAGGCCCCTGCCGGGAACGCGTGCATGCGGCCAACTACCAAAAACCACCGACCATCAGCTCGGTCCTCATGGCCCTGCTGCAAGCTCGGCAACACCAGCAACATCCCGCTACCTATGCATTCTATCAGAGTGGACATCGCTCGCCGCAGCACACCTTCATTTTCCGTGCCATGAGGTTGAGGAACTCTGGGAAGTCGATGGTCCCGTTGCCGTCCGCATCCACCTCGTTGATCATGTCCTGCAGCTCCGCCTCGGTCGGGTTCTGCCCCAGCGAGCGCATGACGGTGCCCAGCTCCTTTGTGGTGATGGTGCCTGCGCAAGAAAGCGGGCACAGGGGCCGGCCGCTTTGCTGTGGATGCGCAAAAGTGTGTCAGTAGTTATGGTGCCGCTGCCAGTTGGGGCCATGCAGCCCAGCGGCAGGGACAGCATGCGCCCGGTTTGCACGGTAAAGGACTGCCAACAAGCTTTCCTCATCCATGAAGGCCACTGCATGGACTGGCAGGAACTCTTAGAACACGCGCGAGTGTGCCTCCAGATCGCATCCCTCCTTCCGTCCCATCTCTCTGGCCCACGCACCATCTCCGTCCTTGTCAAAGAGAGCAAAGGCCTCCTTGAACTGCAAGCGTGCAAGGCGGGCGGGGCAGGCGTGGAGAGGGTCGATGTGGAGGTCGGGCACAGGGCTCGGGCTCCAGCGGGCTCACCGATGAACCTCCACATTCAAAGCCGCTCACCTCAGCGATCTGCTCGTCCGAAAGGCTCTCAGCCATCCTTGCGCCGAATCACCAGTGCTTGGGGTGTTTGACAAGAGCTTGTGGCGCACGAAGGGGGCGTGATGAAAAGCTATCAAGTGTGAGGGCAGCTTTAATGTGCGATCGAAGTGGGTGCCGCCTCTTTCCGAGGCCAAGGTGACGATCGCGAGCAGCTGCCCTTGGTGATCTGGAAGAAAACTTCTGTTTCGATTTTGGTTGGCCATCCTCTGTACTGCCCTATTAGCAGTGATACTCTGGTTAGTGCGCAGCATCCCCGGCACCAGGGCTCTTCATTGTGCTGGGCCTAGCGTCTTAAGCGCCTTGTCGCTATCTGGAAGAAGTAATAATCTGCTCACATGCTGGTGCAGGCCACGCTCGCCGCGCAGCGGGGCCCTGCGGCCACGCTGCCGCAGCTGCTCGGCACGCTGCAGCGGTGGTTCGCCGCTGAGGCCAAGGGCGCGGCCGGCGGCAGCGCCGCCATCACCCCTGCGCCCAGCAAAAAAGACAAGTGGGCGGCTGTGAAGCTGCCCGAGGACACGGTGGCGGCCATCCCCGAGACCACGCTGCCGGGGCAGGCGTTTGTCGGCGACCTGCGCTCCACCAGCGGCCTGGGCCTGGGCGACGGGAAGACGAGCCACACCTCCAAGTGGCTGACGGTGCGGCTGCTTCCAGGGCCTCGCACAGTGCTGCAGCGGGAGCATGTAGCTCCACTGGGCAAAAACCAGCGCTGCCTCTGGTACCTGGCCGGCAGCTGCCCTTTGCGGCGTTGGCCAATCGTGCACCCACGACACTCCCTTCGTTTGACACCAGGCTGGTGCCAAGTCTCCGATGGATTACATACAGGAGGCTGAGCCCATCAAGGTGTCGGGCATGGTGGTCGCCAGCTACGGCAGTGAGTGGCTGAGTGGCGTGTGGTGTCGGGGAGTGGGGGTTGCATGGCGGAGGTTTTTCCGATGCCCGTGGCGCGGCGGCCACTGTTGCTCCAGAGCGAGCGGTACGGCAGCGACAGGGGAGGCCGCGGGCCAGTGTTGGCCTGTTTGGGCAGCAGAGTGCAATTGGTGCGAAGAGTGGGTGTTGATTGGTGGGCTGGTCATGGGGTCCACAGCGTCGTATGGGCGTTCACGTCGTGCGCAGTCGACATTCGACGGCAGGCCTCCGACAGCGTTCAGCCGTCAACTGGCAGAACTCCAGCATGGCAGACACACTCTGGTACGAAGCTGTTGTTTGACTGGGCAGGTTTTCAGGCAGGTGGCAGCACACAGCGCCTCCTGACTGCAGAAGTAGCGAAGTGTCCCGGTCTTGGACTGCCCGCCCGCACAGGCGACGACCCGAACCTGGGGTGCCCGGTGGAGTACATCAGCCTCAAGGGCACCAGTTATGACAAGCCGGCGGTCTGCAAATACACGGGGAACAAGGTGTGGGGGGTTTGGGGGCAGGAACGGAAACTGGGAGGCGGCTGAACCTTGCTGGTCGAGCCTGAGCCTTGTGCACTGGCATCTGGGCGGCACGGACCCCGTCGCCAAGGGATGGCATCTTTGGGAAAGCAGAGGGTGCTGCGCCGCTGCGTTATGCAACCCGCATCCGGCATATTGCGACGATGGTCTGGCAGCATCAACAGGGGCCAGCGGGTGATGCAAGTTTACTCTCGCCCTGCCCCCCAGCTGAGATGCTGTCCGTCCGCGCGCTGTTCCTTGCACTGCACCCCTTGTATCGGCAGTTTTACTCGGACGACTGGAAGCATGGCGGTCATCATTAGTCAGTCATTAGCAACAGCAGCATCTGCAGCGGTCGAAGCTACACCAAGGCCTCGGCTGTGGTGCCGGTGCACAGGCTTGACGGTGGTTGTTGGGGCGCCTGCCTCTCCTGTCGTGCATGCTTTTGTTTTGTGAATTAGTCGTTGCGGGCCATGGCGGCGCCTGGGCGCCCTGCTCGCTTTGCATGTTGATCAGCCTCGGCTTAAGGATAGACAGTCATGGACTTGCTGCCACATTGGATATCGCCATGCGCTTTCCCAGCGGACGTCGCTGCTGCACAGTAATGCTGTGTGGGCGGTGTTTTTACGGGGGCTTGAACTATTGCAGATCGCAAAACAGGGACGACAAAGGACCAGACTCCTCCATGCAGATGTCTGCCGACACCGATGGCCGGATGCTTGCTGGGCTGTACATCCGGTGTGAGTGGCCAACAGCAGTCACCAGCACCCACTGCGCACACGGATGAGATGCTGAATGTACTGCAACATAGCATCGGCCATCTGCTACTTTGGAATTACACACATTTTTCTATTCTCATAGCCTGGCCGGCCTGTCACGCGCCAACGAGCCGACGTCTCCAGACTGATCTGTGCGGGCACGCCTGAGCTTATCACTGCGAGGCAAGCCGCGTCTGGGGCGCGCTCTATCTGGGTTCATTTTGCCGCACCTTTTGTGGCTGCAGAGGCCATCAGCAGCGATCTGACTCTCCGCTTGGGATGCGGGGTACGAAGTGGCCACCAGCCCCGTCTGTTTAGCAAACACCCTGATATGCACGCCCTTCTGCGCACCTCATTCGGCCCGCACTCACAGCAACACACACCTCGCCGCCCGAACGCATCCTTGCGCACCCCAGCAGCAGCAGCAGCAGCAGCAGCAGCGACAGGGACCCTGCACCATGGCCGCGCGACGACTCATTCCCCTGCTGGACCGCGTCCTGATTGAGCGCATCATCGCGCCCACCAAGAGCGCGGGTGGCGTGCTGCTGCCAGAGTCTGCGGTGACGAAGGTGAGCACCCTGGTGGGCAAGGTGGTTAGCCCGCTTCTGCAGATCGTAATCATCCAATCACTGACGAGACGGACGCTGTGGAAGTTTTTCTGGTGGCGTACAGGCAGCATGCTCACATACCCTTCAGACACGCACACAAAAAATGCGCCCATGGCGCATGCAAAAGTGGGAGCACGCATGCGCCCGTACACACGGACAAACACGTACACATATATTCATACACACGAACGCACTCACACATACACATGCACACACGTACACACACGCGTACGCACACACCTGCACACGCGTGCACACTTTCCTCCACCCCGCAAACACGCCCAGGTGAACGAGGGGGTGGTGCTGGCCGTCGGCCCGGGGCGCCGCACCAAGGATGGGGACCTGCTGCCCCCCAGTGTGAAGGAGGGCGACAAGGTGCTGCTGCCAGAGTACGGCGGCAGCCTGGTCAAGCTCAACGACAAGGAGTGAGCACCAGCACGGCCCGTTATTGCATGCTGAGAGGCTTGCAGCTGCGGGCGGGGCAGGCCTTGTAGTTGTGCGGCGGCCTGGTTGTTGTGAGAGGCGGATGCAGCATTCGTTGCGCTGTGCAACCCTGCTTTGCTCAGCGCGGGTGGGGGTCCTTGGTATGGGAATCAAGGTGGGTGTAGCACAAGGGATTCCAGGGCTGGCTGGATTTCAGGCTCTGGGACCGGCAACAGCAAACGAAGGTAGGGAGGGGTGCCAAAGGGGCAACCCAGCTGCCAGCAACGCACGGGTCTAGGGGGAATTGTGACACCCGGCCCCCTTGCCCCGCCGCAGGCTGTTCTTGTACCGCGACGACGAGCTGCTTGGCATCCTGGCCGACTAAGCGTCGGCCTAAGCCAATTGGCTGCCAACGTTGGCCGAGTTTACCCGGTCACGTGTGAGAGAGAGTCGCCCTCCCTGCGCCCTTTCACCTCCAGCATTGGTTGTTCATGTTCGTCTTCTTTCAAATTGGTGCATGCTTCTGCATAGGCTGCTCTTGGGCGGCCGCAGCCTTCTGCTTTGCTGATGAGATGGACCAGGGGGCAGGTGTTGTTGCGGCGCCTTGTGCGGCGGCGCTTGCAGATTGCCGCAGGAGCTGTAAGCAGGCTGTGGGCACGCGTCCTGTCGGCAGCGGTTTAATCCTGATGTACGGCTTTGCACGACAAGGTATACTGCAGGGACCGGCAACTGGTCAGAGACCCGAACGCAGCGGTTCCCGGCACATCCAGGCGTTCACGCAGCAGCCTCCCGAGGATGACCGGCAGCTGAACGGACGATTCTAGAAACTGCAGTTACACCATGCCCAAAGCCTGGCAGTCGCCGCAACCGCAGTCAGCGCAGTCAGTACATGGCCTTCAGCGCCGCCTTTTTCACTTTCCTGCTCTGGTTGCCTGCAGCCCTCTCCTGCAGCTTCTCCCCAAACGCGAGCGCCTGCACGGCAGGGTAGTCGCGCATGGAGGGGGGCAAGGCATGTGATGTAGTCGGTGGGGCGAGCAGCGAGTGAGCACAGGCCGCAGTTGGCGGCGCGCCGCTGCGAACCGCATGGCGGGGCGCCGCAGCCGCAGGCCGTGCGCGCGCACCTTGTCGTGCTTGGCCATCTTTCTTAGCAGCTGCCGGGAGGTGCGGTTGCCGCGCTTGCCAGTAATTTTCCTGAGAGAGTCATCACGCGGCCAGGCAGGGCCGGGTCAGGGGTCCATGCACAAGGGGCAACGCGCATCGAAATGTTCACCAGGCACAATACAGCAGATCCTGCTCATGCGATCCTGGCGTTGTTGGCCAGTTTAGTGCGCCGTATGCGATGACGGCTGTGGCCAGCGCCAGCAGCGAGCGGGAAGAGCTGCCATGCATGAGGGCCCCAGGCAGGCGGTGAGAGGCCTCACATGCCACCGCCTGTCTTCACTCCTAGCTTGCCGGCGCCGCCGCCCTTGCCACCCGCATCCGAGGTGTCCATTGCCTCCGAGCCGCCGCCGCCCCTGCCCTTCTTGCCTTCGATTGTCAAAGCACAGCGGGCGTAAGTGAGAACGGACTGGCCCTGAGCAGTAAAGCTGGATTATGCCTGGGTCAAGATAGGCGAGCGCGCGGTTCGCCCCTAAGCGCCTTAAACCAGCAGGGCTGAGGGGCAATCCTGCACACTCACGGTGCTTCTTGCCGCCGCCGCTGCCGCCTCTGCGGGCCAACGCCTGGGTGTCAGTCCCCCCCATGACCATCTCCGTGACGGGCGCGCCGACGGCACCGCTGCTGCTTGGGGCGCCGCCGTCCTCCCCGTCGAGCGCCATCGCCGCCGGGCCCGTCTGCCAGCCGCCTGCGTCGGCGCTGCCGCCGCCGCCGGCCGGCTCGACCGCTGTGAGCGCCTCCCAGTCGATTCCCGCCTTCCCCTTGTTCTTCTTCTTGCTCTTCCCCATGCTGCCGCACTGCCTGTTCCCCTCAAGCTGTGCTTGCAGGCCCAGGGGCTGCGCTGCTGCTGGTGGTGCGCTCCTGCAAGCCTCGCAGCTTACGCACGGCTACTGGTTTGCTCTAACGTTCTGTATCTGCTGTGCCCTGCTATGGACACAAAGGGATGGCGTCGTGGATTTTGTTTGTTCAATGCCCTTTTGGGGTGCATACACACCGCCGCCCGCTCACAGGCGGCCGCCGAGCAGCGTGCAGCACGAGCTGGGGCGACGCAGCGGCGGCCGGGGGCGGCGATGCGCAACGGCTCCGGCTGCTCACAGCTCAATTTGATTCGCTCTTTATCTTTCAACAATACCGTACAGCGCGGGAGTCCTTCAGATGGCTGCAGCGAGATGACTAGTGTGCCGAGTGCTTGTCGCGAGGATCTCGAGTTAAGCTGAACCCGTAAGCGGGCATGCAACGCGATCGCTTGAGTTGATTGTGGTACCGTACACGAGTTAAAATATGTAAAACGAGTGCAGACCGTAACATACGAAACAAAGATGAACGTGTTGAAGAGCAATGCGCGCGTGGCTCAACCGTGCTCCCAAAAGCACTCAGTGGCAGGAATCGTCGTAGGCAGGCGTGCAGCGGCGGCGGCGCTTCTAGCGCTTGGTGTGCCCCTGCGTGGGCGCCCTCAGCGTGCCTCGTCCATTTTTTGCTCGAGGCCTACAGCATGGATGGCGCATCATGCGGGCGCATCATGCGTGCATGCAACTGCTTGCTTGAACACGGAGAAGGGGTCTGAATGGGTGGCAGACCGCAGTGTCCGCCTTTGCTCCACGGCCGCATTGTGACTCCTCACCCTGCAGGATTGCTGCGACCCAAGGATGCTGCAGCCGAGCAGGCGGCCGCCAACAGCAGCACCACCAGCAGTGGCGGGTTTGATGGCACGACCGCAATCACAATTACCAAAACTGACAAGTCCTTCAAGGTGTGGCCTCTCAGAGGGTGTGAATCCGGTCCTTGCGCACAGCAACCACCACAGGTTGCGTCGCATTGGGGCACAAAGAGGCGAGGACCGGGCTGGAAGGCTGGTGGGCGCAGAAAGGCGCCCGTCAGCCAAGTTTCAGGTAGCCTGGACGTTTCAATAAGCATCCTACCCATTGGCGGGGCGCGGCAGCTTCCAGCGGCTGAGGCCTGCCCCTCTCATGCCACTCGACACCCAACAAGGCCTACATGGACGCGAGGGACGAGGCGATGGCGAACCAGTGCCCCGGTGGCATGTTTGACTGCGACGGCGACAGGTGGTTGCCTGCCTGTCCCCCCCCCCTCCTTGGACGCGCTTGTTTATGAGAGCAGCAGGGGCGGCTTGTCGTTCTGGCGCGTTGATTGGAAGGCATGATGACACGGATAGCGGCGGCCCAGCTCGCTTTGGCATTCGGCTGGCAGAAGTGAGCTGCATGCAGACCGTATTGCGCCTGTGGCTGATCATTATGATGAACCTTCCCTGCCACCACCCGTCACACTTGCTGTGCCACCTGCCAGGCGCGACTACGCAAAAAAGCAGTGGAAGGTGGGGGTCCCCCGGGCTGCAAAACGGGGTGGCAGCTGGGCGGTGTTAGGGTGCCGGTGGGGGCAGGTCTGTTGGCGCAGCCTATGGAGCCGTTGGTGCCCAGAACCCCCGCAACCAGGGATGCCAGCACACTCACTCACCCTGCCAGCGGGCCGCAGACTCAGCAGCTGTGGGCTGTGTACAAGCCATGCAACCTGCCGCCTTCCCGCGTGCAAACCCCAGGACTTTCTTGACAGCGGCGGCGTGCCCAAGCGCATCCGCGACGGCAAGACGGGTGGCCCGCGCGCGTTCTGAGACGCTGCCATACTTCCCGTTTCGAGTTGTGCTTGTCAGTCCACAATCAGCAGCACTTTGACTGTGTTCGGAGCCATGCGCGCGCCGCCCTATGTATACAACACGCTGTTGCATGCTCGGGGCGTCGAAGAATGAGGCCATGACATTATCTGGCCTTGGGGTATCCTGTTTTGGCTGGAAGCGCGTTTGCGTTGATGCACACCTTTGCAGTGTGATTGTCCAGTGCCTGACGTGCGCGCCGCCCTCCTCCTCGCAACTTGGACTTTCTTAATTATGATCATAGATGGGATGTCACCTGCTGCTTCGTGTTGTAGTGCGCATTTGCTTCCTCATGACGTCATGAGTAAACAGCTGCCGAATACATCAACATACCAAAACAATTCTCCTATGGGGGAAATGTCCAACCCTGTGCTGGTCAAATGCTGGGGGGGCTTCGGAACTTAAGGAGGCGCCCAGCTGTGAAGGTGGTCCTTCCTGTATAATATTCATGATGTTCCTCAATTGTTTGTTTGTGTTGACATTTGGAACACTCTGGGTCGGCGTCGCACAGCACAATTGCTGCACAGGGCAGGTCCCTGAGATCAGCCGCGCACGCGGCAGTCCGATGGGACGGTGTGTGTGATGCGCGAGATCCCTCAAGGCATGGCTACTGCAGTTGTGCTACACTACGCTCAAAGACAGCCAAATGTCTCTGGTCGATCACTGCTGAGTTGGCCGGGCCATGCCTGCACACCATTCGTTGATTTGGATCTTGATTCCGTGGTGAACCCTGCCGGCCATTGTTGAGCAGCAGCTGTGGCAACCTGACCACGCGGGCTTCGCAAGTGTCCCGTCACCAAAGTAGATTAGAGTAGACCGTCCCCAAACACTAGCATCCTTGAAAACGCTGCCACCCCGAGGGTGGTCATGACATGCGGCTGTTTCAAACGTCTGCCACAGGCAGCCAAGACGTCGAAATGTTTCAGGGCAGCGCCTTTGATTCCGTCTTCTCGATTCAGCTGCTAGAAATGCCGCAGCACCCTCTAGAAAGGGATGTGTGGCGCGCTTGGCGGCGTCAGCTGTGGCGTCGAGGCGCCCAACCCTCAAGGTACCGGTCCCAGCGTGATCTCTTTGCAATCTTCGCACGGGCGCTGCAGGTTTCAATAACAATATCGTTTCGTTTCATCCATTCATTGACACAAAACTGAAATGCGTGATGCGCTCTCTCTCCCTTCTGCCTTGGGATTGCGACGCTATCCCCTTTCTCCGTAATTGCAGCGTGTAACGTGGAAACAGCGATCTGAAGTCTTTCTACGTTGCGTCTGAGGCGCGCGCATGCACACACCGAGGCGCGCTGTGATGCGCCACAGCACGATGCACAGCACGATGCGCTGTGCTGCGCGCCACCTCAAGGCCATGCAGCAGGGCGCTGCGCCGCCCCGTTCCGTACATGTGCGCGCTGCAGTCCATGAATTCAACACGGACATCGCCGGCAACATGCAGGTGACTCGAGGCCCACGAAGGCTGGGCCACGCCGACCAGCCACTGCCAGCTAGCATTGGCCTTAGGACCATCCACCCAGCAGCTGGCAAACCCTGGGCGCGCACGCTGCCGCGCCCGTCCACGCAACCGCCCCGCCGCGGCTTCCATGCAGATGCTGCTCCAGGGGCGGCAGCTGCTGGAGGGCTCAACAGCGGTGGAGGTGCTGCCGATTGCGGGGGTCACCTTTGATGGGCGCCAGGTGACTGACCGTGTCGGGTTCATGAGTGTGGGGGTGCGGAGGCCCGGGGCCCGTGGACGCGCGCCGCAGGCAGCTCGACCCGAGCCGCGGCGGCGGGCCACGGCCGCCCTCCCGAGCGTATGCGTTGCGATTTGACCGCCCTTGCGCGCGCCAGCGGGGGGTGGGGGGGTGGAAGGTGGATGAGGGGGCTTGTGTCGCCGCCCGCCAGGGGGCCTGTGCTGCCCGCTGGCCGAGTGCGTAGCTGCCGCATGCAAACCGGCCAACGCGGCCCCGCGGCATGCCGATCGAGATTTGTTGCACCTGCCGTGCCGCGCCGCGTGTGGCGTCGGGTATCTCGGCTGCATGGGAAAGCGCGGGTGACGAGCGGCTCCAACCTTCCTCTCTTTTGGCGTGCCGGGCCCCGCAGGATCTGCTGCGGCGGCTGCATCCGCGGCAGGCTGTGATGGCCGTCAGGGAGCCCTACAACCCCCACGACCCCGCCGCCGTGAGGCTGGAGGTGCGATGCAATGAGCTTCACACATGGGTTGAGGGGATTCCAGGCATGCGGGGTTGGGGCCGATGCCAGCAATGGTCTTGCTGGGGCGCGCGGCAGGCGCGGGCAATGACATTGGTCAGCCGTGGTGCGCACGCGCTTGCATCACAGCCAGGGTGCCATGCGTTCTCAGCCCATGCCCTATAGAGGCCTGCGGGCGGTCCCGCGCCATGGTTTTGGTCGGAGCAGCCGGCGTGCCGCCGCGTCTGCACGTGTCGTGGATCCGCGGCGACCCCCGCGCCCACGGCATCCCCTCTGCGCCCCGCATCGCCACCAACCGCAGACGGCGGCGGGGGAGCACCTTGGTTACGTCCCGCGGCGCGCGACGTCGTTCTTTTGGCGAGAGGTGCGCGGAAGGTTGGGGCCGGGGGCGCTTCGACGGTTCCTAACGCCCGCGCCTGCCGGCGCTTGGTGGGCCCGGCCGCGGTTGTACCCCCGGTTGCCCGGCCGGGCCGCGGCTGGTGCAGGGCGGCCTTTTTGAGCGGCAGCCGGTAGAGGCCGGCCGCCTCGCCGCACCTGGACACACACACACACACAGCGGCCTGTGGAAAGCGCCCCCTCGGCAACGCCCTATGGGCTCAGAATACCCGTGCACTTTTGCCCTGGTGATTCCTTCCCCGGCCCCGCCCTCAACCCCAAATTCAAACCCAAACACCTTGGCAGGTGTCCTGGGGCCTCGTCGAGTCCGTCGGTCCCGCGGGCGACAGCGGCTGCCTGGGGGCGCGCGTGCGGCTGTGGCCGTCGCTGCCCGCGGTCACGCTGGACCTGCTGCCGGCGAGCTGGGCGGCACAGACCGACC